AGAACCAGGTAGCCATGATAGCAGGTCTGGTGCACCACTCACACTGCACCTCCTGTCGCCACCTCAAAACGTGTGACCTGCACCCTCACACCATGCAGCGAATGGTGCTGCTGCCAATAGGAGTAAGTGAGAAGACACATGTGGCTCCTCCCATCCAAACTAATGGCACCTCTTCAAAGGTCTCAGGAATATTGCTAGGGGCAAGGGTGTGTGTTCTTGCTGAGAATCCTGGAGATTGTTCTGGGTGTTTCCTGTTTGGGCCAGACTTACGTCTTGGAAATGAGCCCCTATGTGAGGCAAATAAAAACTCCATCTCTCCTTTTGGTCAGTGAGCTCTTCATCCAGAGATGACTTTTATGCCTTTGTGCAGTCTGGGTTGTGTGGTCCTGTGTGTATGCAGTTTTAAGCATGCCTCCCTCATATTTTCTTCAATTCCCTGGACCTCGTTTAGAAGGTGGTGATCTCCTCTCCTTTAGATATACACACAAAAGGGGGTTTTCTGCTTCATATACTTAAATACTTAACAAAAAACCTTTAGGATTCTTCCTTTCTTACTTCCTTCCCTCCCTCCCTTCCATCTTCCCTTCCTCCCTTCCATCTTTCTTCCCTCCTTCCCTCCCTCCCTTCCTCCCTTCCTCCTTTCCTTCCTTCCCTCTCTCTCTTTCCTAGAGAGTAAAAGGCCAAGTGAGAGTTCTCATGTGCTTCAACTGACATACAATAAAAGCTCATTGAAGGAGGGCTCATAGCAACTAGGAAGGCCCAAAGGCAGTGTGACTGGAGAAGGGGTTAAAACTAGCACTTGATTCAGACCCTTGCTACTTAACCAGCAAGCCAGCTAAGGAGCAGCAATATCAGAATCACGTGGAAGCTGTTAGTAATGCAGAATCTTTTGCTCACTCCAGACTGACATCCTAATCTGCATGTTAAAAGGCACCATGGATTATGGACATTAAGCTTTAGGTGGCACTGTAGGATTCTAGGAATGTTCAAATCCTTACATGACAATACAGTCAGTGCACATAATGCTTGTGGAAAACAATGCAGCCAAAGAGAAAGTCTAGCAAGCTACATGTTACAGGATTCTTCGATGTTTTCCTGTGTAACTTGCATAACTGAGCTCTGTAGTAGTCTCACTCTCAGAGCTGGGTTTGTTCGGTATGCAGGGGATTCTGATAGTGGTTTTGAAAAGCAGACAGGGCCGGCACCGTGGTTCAATAGGCTAATCCTCCGCCTGCCGCGCTGGCACTCTGGGTTCCAGTCCCGGTTGGGGCGCCAGATTCTGTCCCGGTTGCCCCTCTTCCAGGCCAGCTCTCTGCTGTGGTCCAGTAGTGCAGTGGAGGATGGCCCAAGCTTGGGCCCTGCACCCCATGGGAGACGAGGATAAGCACCTGGCTCCTGGCTTCGCATCAGCACGGTGCGCCGGCCGCAGCACGCTGGCCGCAGCGGCCATTGGGGGGGGGGTGAACCAACGGCAAAGGAAGACCTTTCTCTCTGTCTCTCTCTCTCTCTCACTGTCCACTCTGCTTGAAAAAAAAAAAAAAGAAAAGAAAAGAAAAGCAGACAGTATTCCCAGATTTGCAACTGGTTCACACACCAGAATGCTCTCAAACCTCCAAATCAACTACGAAAACTCGAGCCAAGGCCCTGTGGCCTCAGTGACACGTGGTCTGGCACAGCCCCATGTGACACAAGTAAAGACAGGACCTGCAGCCTGCCTCAATCACCTACACACTGCCCTCACAGAGGCAGCTACAAGGACACAGGTTCAAAGCTCCATACATTCTTCCTTTAAGGAAAGGTTGCCCCCAAGTCTTGCTTCCCATTGTCTTTGGCAGATTGAAGGCTGCCACTTTCCACAGTCCCTGAGCACTGCTACTGCCAACAAGGAAAGTCTATGTCCCCGTGAAATCCCAGGACACACTTCTTCAGTGTCCTGCACCTCCCCATGTTGCCTGGCAGCGTTGCTGTACTGTGTCTCTACAGGGAGCAGCTTCACTAGGCCTCATCTGGAATCCCAGGTCCTCCCTCAATAGCCTCGTGGCAGGTGGGAAGCAGGTACAAGTGAAATGCTTGGAGTAACTGCAAGTAATTGCAGCTTTAGGCACACACGAAGAGGGGCACAGGTAGGGACTGACACGGTTCTGGTTGGTAAACGTACCTAAGATATTATTGGGGCATATGCTAAAGCCCAATGCACTGATTTCACTAGATTCAAAGATGAAAGATGGACTGTGTGTGGCCTCCAGCCATTCACAATCCAGTGGAAGTAGGAAACAAAAACAACCAACTGAAACCAAGTTCTGGTCAATGCCATCTCTCTAAATCAAACTCAACAATTTGTTTTGGGAAAGTTGTAGGAGTAACTGGAGTTAATGTTGGGAGAATAGACAAAGGACTCCTAGACGAAATGGGATTTGACCTGGGTTGTAAAAGAATAGGAAAATGTTACACGATTAATAATGGTGGGGGAAGGGAGACATTGTAGGAGAAAAGAAAGCAGAACAAAGACACAGAAGGAGGAGGGAAATAACACAGATCATGAGATAAACTTGCAAAAATAAACTCAAAGTAGTCTGACATGGGACTGGTGCTGTGGCGCAGTGGATTAAAGACATGGCCTGCACTGCTGGCATTCCATATGGATACCGGTTCAAATTCCAGCTGCTTCACTTCTGATCCAGCTCCCTGCTAATGCTCCTGAGCAAGCAGTGGAGGATGGCCCAAGTCCTTGGGCCCCTGCCTCAACGTTGGAGACTTGGAGGAAGCTTCTGGCTCCTGGCTTCAGATCAGCATGGCTCCAGCCATTTTGGCCATTTGGGGAGTGAATCAGAGGATGGAAGACCTCTCTCTGTAACTCTTTCAAATAAATAAAATATTTTTTTTAAAAAAAGTAGTCTGGCATGTGAGAAGCAATGTCAAATTAGGGTACTAATTTCTCCAAAGTACTGAAGTCTCCAAAATGATTTCTTTATAGCATTTGCAATGGTCTTTCCTACATTTACCTTTTTCTAATCACACAACTAAGACATGCTTACTATAGTACCATATAGACATATAAAGCAGAAAACAATTACATATACCCCACAATCAAAGTACATCCAGGTAACTATGTGCCACATTCTATTTACACTCTTTTTTTTTTTTTGACAGGCAGAGTGGACAGTGAGAGAGAGAGACAGAGAGAAAGGTCTTCCTTTTGCTGTTGGTTCACCCTCCAATGGCCGCCGCGGCCGGCGCACCGCGCTGATCCGATGGCAGGAGCCAGGAGCCAGGTGCTTTTCCTGGTCTCCCATGGGGTGCAGGGCCCAAGCACCTGGGCCATCCTCCACTGCACTCCCTGGCCACAGCAGAGAGCTGGCCTGGAAGAGGGGCAACCGGGACAGAATCCGGCGCCCCAACCGGGACTAGAACCCGGTGTGCTGGCGCCGCAAGGCGGAGGATTAGCCTGTTGAGCCACGGCACCAGCCCACACTCTTTTAGATGTGTTCTTATCTTCTGCACCAATAGGTTTGGATGTACCATTGCTGAAGACAATTTGCATGTATAGGAACTCTCTTGATTCATCCTTGCAGTATCTATAATGTACAGCAGAGTGAAATGTTCAGCATCTAAGGAAAATCAATCTATTGACTTAGAAATAAATTATGTTCTTCATTTGAATAATGTTCAGCATCTAAGGAAAATCAATCTATTGACTTAGAAATTAATTATATTCTTCATTTGAATAACCTTGATGATGGCTTATCCCATTTCTCTACCTATATGTTTACAATAGATAGCAGCAGCCTCCTGGTAATCCCCCAGGTTCATGTTAACTGAGGATGCAAGCTCCAGGCTCTCCTATCTCCCTCTCCACCTCCTCTGATTATTACCTAAGAATCCCACTGTATTACCCTAGGGACTATGATTACCCACAGTGGGAGACTATCTGTCCCTGAACAACTTAGCACCCATGCTAGTCTCCCAGAGATGCTGTAACAAATGAGCACATGGGAGTGGCTAACATCAGAAACTGATTCTCTGGGAGGAGAAAGATCCAAAATCAGTGTTACAGGAATGTTCGTTCCTTCTGAAGAGCTATGAGGGATAGTTCACTGCCATATTCTCTCCATGCATGTGGGGATTGCCAACGTCCAAGGAATTCCAAATTTGTAGATGCATCATTGCTCTATCTGCCTCCTTTATTTCATAGTGCATTTCCCTGTGTATCTGTGTGTCCAAATTCCCCTCCTTATAAGAACCCCACTCCTGGGAGCACTGCTCATCATATTTCTGTGTGACTCCACCTTGGATTCTTTATATTTGCAAAGAGCCCATTTCCAATAAGACTCCATACACAGGTACCACGTGTCTGCAAATGAGCATATATTATGGGGGGCACAATTCAACCCATTTGAAAATTTCTGATTTTTAATTACTCAAATATTTTTTATCTTTATCACTGAACACTGGCAAATGCAAGGGAGCAGGCTTTGCCTCGTAAGGGGTGCTTTAGACAGTCAATGGCAAGAGAATTGAAGACAAATTTCTTGAGTGCACGAAGTTTAAAATCAATGAATGTTATTTCTTCATGGGCATTTAGATGAACTTGAAAAAAAAACATGTACTTCACTAACAACAATGAGCATGGGTCAAGAGCAAAGGGAAGAACCTCTGTCATCTTTGTCTTCTTAGTATCTGAGAGGGACACACAGCATAGACAGAGACATTCAGTTCCCATCTCCTGGCTCCCAACATAAATGAACACAGCATAACCTTAGATCCTGACCTCAAGCAAGGTCTCCCACGTGGGTGGCGTGGACCCAATTATTTCCTCCTAGTGTTGTCATTAGCAGGAATCTAGAGTCAGGTGCTACAGCCAGGGAAGATGCGTCCCTGTTCCTCAGCTGTAAAACACAGACACCTTAACACAGCGACTTAAATGCCAGTGTAAACACCCTTTTTCAGAGGTTATGATATTGTTACAGAAGCAACAGAGTCCTTCACGAACCCATCAAAATCTTTACTTTTAACAAATAAGTGTTCAGTTTATCCACAGGTAAACATCATTTCTGGTGAGATCACTCAGTTAACTGAATTTAATAACAGTACTTTTTATGGTAGTTTCACACTATGTCAGGCAACATTCTATGTGGCCCTCTAATGGGCTAATGGATAAAACAAAATAGAAAAGCAAATCCTAAACAGCCCTGTCCATGTTAAGTTTAACAACTTGCATAGGAAAGAGGGCCACAGGTCAACAAGAGAAATAATAAACTATGCTGGTGAGGAGAAGTGAGAAAGTGCTATGGAGAAAAACAAAGTAAACATACAACAAACAGGGGACTTGCTTTGCCTATGGAAGTGACTTCAGGATAGACAACATCCTCTGCCACCACCCAATCCATCCCTGGCCACGGAAAGCAAAAAATTCAAATTCAATTGCAGTGGGCTTTCCAACAATGCCTTTCCTACTATAACTCGCCAGCTTTACTAAATTTGCTGCATTGCCCTATACTTGAATGATGGTCCCATATGAACCTGCCAGTGTCTGATTTGGCTGCACCAAAAAAGCTGTACGTAAAATCTTTTTCATGATGACTCAATTGAAATTTGCCCTTTGCTGCCCTTCAAAATAAGGATGGACAGGGAACAAAAAGGTGTTGTTTATTACATCATCATTTCCACTGGGGTGACAGACACTGCTCTCCAAATATAGCGCCCCTGATCACTCTTCACTATGTTCACATTGACGGCATCGCGGACTTCAGGCATATAGCCCTCAGGCAGTATCAGCGAATCCAAGGTGAAAAAGACAGTATTAGCGATCACCCCATTTCTTCCAAGTACATTGCTAATCCACACCTGTAGAGAGGAAGAATGGAAATGATTAAAATCAAAGCGCACTACAAGCTTCTCTGCCCCTCCTCACTACGGCTCTATCCTGTGAGTCTCTCCATCTCCACCGGGATCCCCAATTTGACTGGCACCTTGTCAACACCAAGAATGCTCGGTAAACACACCTGGGGCCAGACCTCACTTCCTAACAGCCAATTCAGAGTCTCAGGAGAGAGAACCCTGGTCTACAGTGAGTTACTCTGCTAACATTACCACTCACTGTGTGCATTAATCATGATTTGATGGATTCCCCACTTCCTTTCCAACTCCACAATTCAAGTCATACTTGGCTCTTATGAGTAATGTCAGCTGCTATGGCATTCTACATTCACTCTTTCTCAAAAAATATTCTTGCACACAAGTCATATTTCATAATGTTTTCCTTAAGAGCACTGTAATAGCATTCCAATACCATATAAAATTCCGAATGTATATTATCAGTTGCATATGAAGTACACATAATTCTCTTAATTTCTTTGGTTTTGGAAGTCATTATTTCTCAAAAGCAACATAAGCTCCTGTTTGCCAAAGAACAGATTGTATAGATGTCCCAGCACACTCAGTAGAAAGCTGAGAATCAAATTATCAACAAAGGAAAAATTGACAATAGGGAAGTCTGCAGCAATATGCAAACCCATTACCTTTTTGACATGGTTAAAGTTCAACGGCTTTGCTGAGTGTGCCCTGATGTTGGAGGTGCAAGGATCGAAGGAATATTCAACTTCTAACCAGTCTCCCTTGTAAGGCTTAAAACCTATAAGAGCCATGGAGAAACTGCAGTTACGTTATTGCTTCTCTAAAGTCATCTTGAATTCACAAGTTTTGTCAGTGCTGTACTATTACTGAGAAGTTTGTGTTCTACATAAATATAATTTTGCAGGTGTTTTCACAGAAACCTTTTAAATATTTCAGTCAGATTCAAGCTATCATGCCTTATTCCCTGACTGTTCTGTACTGGTTTACTAAATCCAGATAGGGAAAGGAATGAAGAATTGAACATCACACATAGCCAAATTTGGGGATGAGCCTGGGAACATATTAAACAAATGTTCACATTCATAAGTCTTTACTCAAGAGACAGTCAAGTACAAAGTTGAGATCACAGGCTTGCAACTGTACTCCTATATTACAGACCACAACACTGTCGCTCAGTTTGCAACCATGGTCGAGGCACTTTACCTCTCTGTGTTTCAATGTCACCATGTATAAAATGAGAAGTACCCTAATAGTCTTGATGACATACCATTAAGGTACTGATAAAACTTTACATGTACAATAAAGAAATTAGTAACATCAAGAAATACTGTACAAATGAATAAGCAATCCCAGGATTTTGGTCAGCTGATGAGGTCTTTACTACTTTTTACAGCTATACACATGTAGTTTCAAAAGGGATTTTGCATTAAGAAGAAGGTTAGTTACGGCATAACAGAGATAACCACAAGGCTCAGAAATAACTCGAATACTCAAACATTACAGGTGGGTAGGTAAACTGGCACACCCAAACCAGCAAACTGGCAATGTCAACAAAGTTAAATGTATATGAATCTGGTGACCCCAGGCTCAGTGAGACATCTGTTGCTTCTCTCCTTAATCAATATGCATAACTCTGGTGTGGCTTTACAGAATATGTATGGGCTTATAGCTGCAGAGGGCACGTTTCTAAAGCTATACTCAAGCCAAGATTCCATCATTTCCATACACAGACTGAATTAACATACCTAAAGCTTAGTTCCTGTTTTTCTTCTTTTTCACTACAATTGGCTCTTCTCAGTCTCCCACGTGTCACATTAACAGCTTCATCCCTATCACTGTTCAAACCAAATACCTTGCAATTACTTTTTCCTCTCTTTCCTTTCACAACAAAAGGACAATTCACCAGCAATCATTGTCCTCTGAAATCCCAAATTATATCCAGGATCCTCCTCCAGATATCCATAACCTCTGGCCAATTTTACTATGTCCTCCTAAGCAAATTCTTGATTGATCCTTCTCCCATATACTCTCTTAACAACAAAGCAGACAGAGTGAACATGGTAACAAAGCTCAGGCAAGGACCATAGTTCGGAGTCCAAGAGAAATAAAACATCAGGCTGGTTTGTGGGGCTTAGCTAATATTCCGTTTAGAGCAGTATTTCGTTCACAAGAATCAACATAGTATAATGTTGGTTAGAGTCCTACTCTTAGAACAAATCTGGACATTACAAGTGGAATTCAACAATAGGTACCCCATATACCTACACTGTAAATTGTATCACTCTCTCTAAACTTCCATTTTGAAGCATTTGTATTGCTTTAAAATATTATCTTCCTATTCCTGTGTAATTTTTTATTGGATAGTAATTAAATACAAACCAATTTCATTGTATGAATGAAATATATCTACACGTTACTGGCTGCATTTACACATAACAACTGATAACCAGAGCTATTAAAAATACTAGGTAACTGCCCTCATAAACTATATTATTTGCACTTCCAAAGGCCTTCCTCAACTCTTCAGGAGCCATTGACTAGAGCCAGATATGCAATTTGTGACAGTGCTAAAATTCTGTCAGAAAATAAACATCACATTTTTCTAACAACTGGAAATTATACCTTCAGAAAAAAGGTTTATGGAGAAGCTAGTTGTTTCATTCATATAGACAACACCATTCCATACAGTACTAACACGATCAATTAAAATTCCAATTTCAGGGTCTGATCCGCTAGCATTGTAGAAGTCATCAGGGATGTTCATCACCTGTAACATAAGTACACATTGACTTCCAACAGAACAAAACGTTGACATGGAATCCAGTATGATTAAAAGATTGATGTTCAAGAATTATGTTTAATAATTGTACTCCTTACTAGGGAATATGTTACATAGCAAATTAATCACAGATGTGAGCTGATGCACTGAAAATAATTCTTGAGCTTTATGCATTGTTTAAAATCTCGGGACAATGTTAATGGTACACCCAAGTGTAAGGAACTCGTTACATTAAGTTCAATGGTAAAATGTATACTATTCTTGTGCTCCAGAAATTCAGTATTAAATAACTGAAGAAACTGAAATAAGATCCAGTTCTAGGACGGTGGGATCAAAATCACAATCATAGTGAAAATAATTTGGTAAATTCTCCAGAGAAAGGAGATTTCAGATTGGGAGAAAACTGAGGCAGTGAATGGAGAAAATGAATTTGGGGTTGGGCTGTGAAATCAAAGACAGGTGTCCTTGTTAAATGACAGTAGGGCCAGGAGGCAAGTAGAGATGGGAGAAATGCGCATAAGCTAGGGATATAGGCAGGTGTCTAATGCCATTCAAGGGAAAAGGACTAGGAGATAAGCTCTGCAAAAAAATCATTGGAAATTGGACAGAGAGATAACAAAATAGTCAAATTAGGGTGTATTAACTCTCTGACAGAGAGGTATACAAAGCAACTTTGTTTACTGGGAGCAAACCACTCTGTATTTGAAGTTTCTTATCTATAGAAATAATAGATGACAATGATGGAAAAAGTACAAAAACAAAGCAATTCCTCATTAATTCATAATCATATTAGCTAGAGACAAGTGTCATTTATCTTTCAGTTTTTTTTTGTGCACAGATATGTATTACTTAATTATCACGGTTACTTGCATCATTTAAATACTAGAAAAACAGATGGAGAATAGTCAGTGTATTCAGTACTCACGAATATTATGGAAGAGTCATATACAGCGCTGGGAGTGAAGCTTCACATATGACACTGTCCCCAAACTAAATCTTACTTGGAAAGATTTCAATACCTCAAAGAGTTCACATTCTTCCACACTGGCAGCATCCTTCTGCCCACCTCTCAGCAGCACCCTGCCCAGGTCATAGTCACCAGAGGAATTTGTGACTTCTTTCCGTTGATTTTCCAAATTGTCATCTACGAGATAGGTCAACGAGGTCACACCTCTTAGGTTCAGATGCAAAACCCATACAAAGACCATCTGTGTTAGGCTCTCTTGATCCTTCATATGTAAAACAAGGATTATAACAACATCTGCCACTAAGCATTGTCATTTATTCACACAGGTACGTACAGTTTAAGATCTGTGAGTACCAGGGCTGGTGCTTTGGTACAGTGGGTTAAGCCACCACCTGCAAGGCCAGCGTCCCATGTGGACACTGGTAAAATTCTCTGCTGCTCACTTCTGATCCAGCTCCGTTACTAATGATTGCACCTGAGAAAGCAGGGGAAGATGCCCCAGGTCCTTGGGCCCCTGCACTCATGTGAGAGACCAGAAAGAACATCCTGACTTCCATCTGGCCCTTCTCTGGCCATTGCGGGCTGAACCAGCAGATAGAAGATCTCCCTCTGTCTCTCCCTACCTGTCTCTCCAGAACTCTGCCTTTCAAATAAAAAATAAATAAATCTTTGAAAAAATCCTTTAAAAAAGATCTGTGAGTGCCTTGCAGAAAGTAGCTGTTATCACTGCAGATTTCATAAAGCTTCCACTATTACATCTTGCTATCATCACAAAGCTGAGGAAGTAATCTCTAGGGCCTGCTTTCTTATCTTCTCAGACAAAGCACTCAAACCATCTGGAGATTTACAGGTGACCCCTAATTGCACCCAATTTTTTTGCTGTGTGTACAAGAGCAGCTGAGAAGTAATATTTTGTTATTTGATTCTAGCAGTCAGCTTGCCAAAGAGTTCTGCTGGTTGCCTAAGGGACTACTATCCGAATTATCCACCTGTCTGCAAAAACTCAACAGAGATGGAAAATGAATTCCACATGCAATTTGGGGGCATGTAAAAAAAAAACTCACCTAGAGCAGGAAGCAAGCGGGAGAGGCAGGGGAGCTTCACCCCAGGGCCTTGTGTATCAGCCCCTTCTCAGACTGGAGGGCCATGAAATGGAGGCTTGAGTGTGGCTGCCCTAGCTCACACTGTGGTATATGTTGAATACCCTAGACACAAATGCACGCACACACACGCATTCATGCACATGCACAGGATAGAGCCGTGACAACTCTCAATGGCTCCCGCACCCAAATGTGGACCAGCGTTGGGAGGGCCAACACTAGGAGATTCCTTGCAGGGGGTGGGGGGTGGGGAATCCTACAATGGGACACACTGAGAGGTACCTTGCCCTGCTCCCGGCTGTCTCTCAGCAGGTTCGTAGCTCTTGCAGCCGAAGAAGGTTACCATGCGTCTCGCCAGCTTGAGCATGGTCTCCTCCACAGCACGGCACTGAGTTCCGTGAAAAGCTCACCAAGCTGGACAGCTCCTCTGTCCCTCAGGTCACAGCGCCCCCAAGAAACCTGCTTCTTGCTCGTCTTCTTCAGCTCCTGGACAAACTCCCTCCTGCAAGCAGCGGCTTCTAAAATGGCGCGGGTGGGATTCCCTGCATGAGCCACGCGGCGTCGCCAGCAGCTCTCGTACATCACTCGCGCCCACCACCACCGCGAGACTCTTCTTGAACCACCCCCTAACTCTGCAGCCAGTGAGGTGGCTGCACACAGGCAAGAGGGCCCTACAAGCCAATAGGACGCAGTGACAAGAAACACCCGTGGCTCCTCCGACCCAAACTCCTGGTGCACTTTTAGGAAGTCCGGAGTATGTTCTCGGGGCAGGGTGTGTCCTCTTGCTGAAGATTGCAACTTTTCTGGCGCGTTTTCTGTTTGGTTGGTTCAGACATCCATCTTGGAAATGTGTTCCTGTGCAATGCCAAAGAATATTACAGCCCTCCCCTTGGGCAGTGAGAGCTCCACCCAGATATCCAGTCTGTGTGGGCAGGGTGGGTTTTGAGGGCCTGTGTGTATGTCATGCCAAGTCTCTTTTACCCTAGTGTTCCTATCAATAATATACCATAGACTTGTTTGATAACCAGCAGATACCTGTTTAGTACTGACTCGGGGGCTGAACCAATGTTGGTGTTTGAAAATTAATCAGTGAATAAAAAAGAATTGATACTGGCTTTGGGGAGATAATCTGAAGAGGGGAGGGGATAAGGAGATAAAAACCTAATAAGAAACAAATACAGGGCCGGCGGTGCGGCTCACTAGGCTAATCCTCCGCCTTGCGGCGCCGGCACACCGGGTTCTAGTCCCGGTCGGGGCGCCGGATTCAGTCCCGGTTGCCCCTCTTCCAGGCCAGCTCTCTGCTGTGGCCCAGGAGTGCAGTGGAGGATGGCCCAAGTGCTTGGGCCCTGCACCCCATGGGAGACCAGGATAAGCACCTGGCTCCTGCCATCGGATCAGTGCGGTGCGCCGGCCGCAGCGCGCTGGCAGCGGCGGCCATAGGAGGGTGAACCAACGGCAAAGGAAGACCTTTCTCTCTGTCTCTCTCTCTCTCTCACTGTCCACTCTGCCTGTCAAAAAAAAAAAAAAAAAGGAAAGAAAGAAAAGAAACAAATACAGGACTTAAGGGAGGCGCAGTGCTGCCCCTATACCGGGGTGGACCCAAACCCGAGAAGGAGCTGCATGCTTCTGGTTCTGAAGGATGGACTGGATCGCTAGTAGAACCTTTGGGCCGCAGGGCACTGTGTCTGGGAGCCGTGCTCAAGTAACAGGCCCACCTGGGTCCATGCTCCCTGGGCCTATGAAGTTGGACACTCTGGCTTCCCTTAACACCCAGGTGCTGGCTGCCTGCAGCTCGGACAGGGCAGTGGACACGTAAGATTGCGATTTGTGGTGATCTCTGTCTTCCTCTCAGTGCAGGAAGAAGCCTCTTGTCAGGGTCTTGGTGTGTCTATGGGACCTCAGCGCGGGTTGCAACAGTGGTGCAGGGGGACTGAGAGTGCCGATGTACCTTGCGTGGGGCTCGGGGCTCCTTTCACAGGCCAGGGAAATATGACCCCTCGCCTCCAGAACCTTGCATACGGCACAGAGAAGTGTGACCCGCAACAGGTCCATAAGGATACCTGAGGAGGCCATTAGGGATTGGAGTGATCTACAGGGGGCATTGTGTGTCCTTGAGCCCGTGGGCCAACAGCAGCAGCTTACGTGGGCCCTGTAACTCCCTGGTTCTCCAGAAGCAGCTAAGGACAGTGCGTGGGCCTCCTTTGATAGACATTAAGGTCATCTCTTCTATAATCCACAGGCAAGTGGGGGATGCCGGGTGAATGGTGTGAGAATAGCAGTGTCACCTCACACTTCCTGTGAGGGCCCAGAAATACAATCCGCTTTGTACTTGCTACGTGAAACATGAGTAAGTAACTGGAGAGGAAGAGGACACATGTGAAAGCAGGGTTAGGGTTAGGGTTATTCTCAGGATATATGAAGCAGAGGGACCAAGGTGTGTGACGAAAACAGTTCCAACTTTTTTCCAAATTGTTGAGGGATGGATGAATTGGGAAAACCTGGATATGTATTTCAGGATGTAATAAATATTCAATCATAAGTTACCTCCACTTTCCATAGCGTCATGGATTTCTATTCTTTCTTGGGATTATTGAATTAACTAAAATATCATTGAACTCATTGAGTTCAATATGAGCAGATTCTCTCCAAACAAAACGAAACAAAGTCCATGTCTCTATCTGTATTAAAAAATCTTCCCAATGCTGTAAAAACCAACAGGGAAATTTATCCCCATTAAATTCTATCAAATCTTGAAAGAACACACTGATACTGTTCTAATTTCCTCCAAAATAGAACAGTAAAGAACCATTTCTAGTTCTTTCTAAAGAGACAGAACTACTCCGATAGCAAAGACAAACACATGACAGAAAGAAAAAAGAACTACAGACCAACATCTCTTGTGAATTGAGATGCAGAACTCTTCAGCAAGATATCTGACAAACCAAATTCAGTTGCATATTAAAAGTACCATACACCATGACCAAGCAAGAGGTATTCCAGGCCTCAAAGGGTGGTTCAACAGACAAAAATCCACCCATATCATACACCACTAAAAATGACAATGCAGAAAGAAAGCTCATATAAGTTGATGCAAAAAAATAGTATTTGATGAAATTCAATAGTCATGCATTAAAAAAACAATAAACTTGGAATAGAAAGGAACTTGCTCTATCTATTTAGAAACTTCTATGGAAATCCCACCACTAACATAAAATTAGCTAATTCATTAATCTCAACAAATTATAATCATTAACTATGGGTTACACAGTGATCTCACAATATAATGTGTGTGTGTGTATGGTGGAAAGATTTAATCAAGTTAATTAATATATGCACCATCCCAATTACTTTTTATTCTTCCTGCTTAATTTGCACTTGGCAGTCATTGACTAGTGTCTGCTCATTCCCCACACTCCACAGCCTCTGTCAACCACCATTCTACTGGCTGCTTCTATGAGTTCATTTGTTTTTGATTCCACATAAACTGAGAATACGTTGTTTTGGTCTTTTTGTACCTGACTAATTTCACTAAGCATATTGTCCTCTAGCTTTATCCATTTAGTGGCAAATGGCAGATTTTTCTTATTAAAAAGTATGTTAGAAAAACACAGATATGCATGTAAATTCACACAGTAAATATTGAATGAGCAGTTTATACGATAAATATTTCAGTTAGCACTGGCTGTGGAGCAATGAACGTAATGTGATTCCTGCCATTTGGAACATAACAATAGCTATAGATATACAAGAGAATGAATTAATAATTGGATTTACCTTAAGAACATCAGTGCGGGAAAGGGAGGAGGATATGGCACTGCTCTAGCCCCGGAAAAACTTGCTTTTGAAAACTGCTGATAAAATAGGGGCAGCTTATTACTTTTGTTTGGGAGACTGTGTTCTCTCTCTAGTGCCTCTCTTGGCTCTGCTCCGGGGGTACAAACCTCCTCTGGGAGGATGAGCAGACCAGTTTTGAGGTTGACCTGTTTCTTTTCTCTCTGCCTTCCCTAAACACCAGCCCCCCAGAAGGGATTAAACAGCCATAGGCTTATGTTTCTTTTCCATCTTCCAGATTTGGCTCACTTGCCTTAGATTGAAGATTGGGAAAAGAAAAAAAGGGGGAGTCCATTGCTTCATTCCTCCCCTAGGTCTTCTGTACTCTGACCTCCTCAAACCCCAAAAGATACCTTCTACAACTTTGTATATAAAAAAAGGAGAATTTCATCCTATTTTTCCCTTTTTCCATATGAAAGAGCCCCAGCCTTCTTTGTTTTTGCTAAGGGAGTAGAAGTGTGGTGATTTGTCTCTCATCTCCCCCAAGTCCCTGCTCAGTAAGGGAGGGTGGGGTTTCAGATGGGGTTAGACTGCTGCTGCAGGCAGTGAAGACTTTGTTGATCTCTCCCCTGGGCTGTGTGTTTTCCTATATTTCTCCCGCAGGAATTACACTGTGCCTTCTCTGCAGGGGAATGGGTGTTGTCTCCCCAGCCCTCCACTTCCCCAGTAACTGCTCATGAACAGTGTGGACAAAGGCAGGTCTTCATATTTTTGATCATCTCTGTTTCCTGCTGATATCCCGTAACCCTGTTCTAGAGTTTAGGACACAAAGACTTTGAATGTGCTGAGATTGACCTGAGGAGATCCCTTCTACACACACCAATGGCAGCTGCCCAGGGCCTGCTCCCTCTTCCCAGGTCTGTCATCCTCTGGGGCAAGGGGTAGTGCTCCAATCTCTGTGGCCTAAAACAAGTTAATTTTTCTCTTAACACTGGCAATAACCAGTCTCCATACCACTATTGCCTTTTCCTAATAATCTCACACTGTGTTTTTATTGGTTCCCACCCAGTTGTCACCAGGGCTGTGTGAGTAAATGACTTTAAATGCTCCCATCCTTCTCTTTCCCCCTTCACTCTTGGGTGTGGATGATGCTAATCTTTGATCTTTCAGTTTCTTCCTGCTCATTTTGTATCTTCCTTTCTCGTCTCTTCCCCCTACCTTTTGTCTCTGGGTGTTTTGGTAGCGGATTTTTTTGGCCTTTTGTACAAAGATTAGTTTCAATGTAGTCTATAGCTCCTTTGTAAACCAATTAAAAAGTAATTTTTAATAAAAAAAACCAACAATAATCATGCCATGCATTAATTAATTCTCCATTTAGAATTAGAAAGTTTTGCAAAGATTATTTTTTTTTTTGACAGGCAGAGTGGATAGTGAGAGAGAAAGACAGAGAGAAAGGTCTTCCTTTTGCCGTTGATTCACCCTCCAATGGCCGCCACAGCTGGCACACTGTGGCCTGCGCACCGCGCTGATCCGAAGGCAGGAGCCAGGTGCTTCTCCTGGTCTCCCATGGGGTGCAGGACCCAAGCACTTGGGCCATCCTCCACTGCCTTCCCGGGCCACAGCAGAGAGCTGGCCTGGAAGAGGGGCAACAGGGAAAGAATCCAGCGCCCTGACCGGGACTAGAACCGGTACCGCTAGGTGGAGGATTAGCCTATTGAACCGCAGCGCCGGCCACAAAGATTATCTATCTCTCTCTCTCCTTCTTCCCTGCCACCCTGCTTTAAATAATGAATTACAAATAAATAATAAATGATGTTATTAATAAATAACAAATTTTTTTAAAAAAGAAACTATACCACAATTTCTTTATATATACTTTCATTGAAGGACATTAAGCTTTTTCCATCTTTTGGCTA